CCGGTTAATTAGATTAACTTAATATTTTATAATTATATTTAGATTGTTAAAAATTATATTAAAAATATTTCTCAATTTATTTTTCAAAATAAAAATAGTTTGTTTAAAAAATAATATTATTTTTTAAAAAAAAAAATTCAAACTTTTCATATAACATATTTAAAATCATAAAATTAAAAATATTTAATATGTTTGACATATTTGCTGATATTTTATATAAGTAATAAGATTTTACAAAAACATATATTTTCTTAAATTCCTTATCAAAATTAAAATAGGATACACGAATTGAAATGGAGTATGTATAAATTGTAACTTTCTCTACTAATATATATATATATATATATAACAAAATAAGAGAAGTGTTAAAATGGCTAAAAAATTTAAAAATTATAACATTCTTTTATTTAAAAATAATTTATTTTTTAGTAAAAGGTATGAAAGATAAAAATATTTTTAAAAAGTAAAATTATATAGAAAAAATCTCATTTTAATCGAATTTTGTAGAAATCTTTTTTTCATAAAATAAATATTTTTCAAAGTATTTGTAATTAAAGTTTAGGTAATCAAAATTTTGAGAAGTAAAAAGAACGTGTGAAACAAAGAAAGTAGAATTGAAGGGAAATTTGAAGTCGAGGATTTGTAGTTTCAAGGTACAGGCTAATAGGTTACAATTTAAATCCTACAATAGATTCAAATCCCCAAGAGTCGGTTTAATGTTCCCTATTAATATATAGTCTCATAGACAAAGTTATTGTATGATTTTGATTTCATCTAGTTCAATATTACTCTTTTTGGGGAGAGTACAATTGAATAATTTTGTTAAAGTTCATTGATATTAATTAAAGACAGAATAGTCTAATGAATTTTTATACTTGTATCAGATTATATTATAAACTTTTCTACTTAGATTTTTGTCATCTGGACACTTATATTTAACATAACACAATATAATTACTGATCATCTTTATGTGACATTAATATAGAGACAATAATATAGATGAATTGGCAAGATAGTGTAGTCACACGCTTGCAAAGGCAAGTGAACATATGATATTTGAAATTTCAACTTTTACTTTTAAGTAATTAAAATTATTTTTTAAAAAGAAAAAAACTCAATCTTCTTCTCCACACTATCTCCATCTCCTTCCCCACACTATCTTTTTTTTTCGGTCAAACCCCAACTCCAACCTATTTTTCTTTCACTTCTTTCTTCTTTTTCCTACTCGTTCCTTTTTTTTCCTCTTCAATCATCACTTTTCCTTTTTTCCCTTTCCTTGCTCCTTTTCAACTTTTTTCTTGTTTTTTTTGTTACCCTACCTAAAAAATGAAATTGGGCAAAAAAATTTAAACATAATAAGCAAATAAAAATTAGAAAATAGTGGAGTTGTTCATATCTCTAATGGGTAACTTGACCTCTTTTGGTGTCAAAATTATTCTTGTATTTGTAAATAATTTGGGGTGTGAAATAGTAGTTAGCATTGGATTATGAAAAGTTTGGTTAAATCTGGTTGTTAGGTGGCTTGGTTGTTAGATGACTTAGGTTGTTGTTACTTTGATCTCGACGGTAAAAATGACGATAATGCCAGCAAAATGGACGGCGCCATAAAAAATGGAGACGATGCAATGGCTCCATCAATTTCTCCGGCATCGATGAGATCCTCTACCTTGTTCCGACAAGTTTGTATTGCTATCCATGCCGAAAAATTGAAAATGCTATATTGGATTTTACAATTTGATTCTAATAGATTTTACGACGCCGGCTTGGCGATGAAATAGTGAAAATAGGGAGGATTAGAAATATCAATAATAAATTAAAATGACACTAGTGGGGGTAAAATAGTTTCATGACTACATCATATTGCTGGATTGTGAAAAAATCGAAGAAGAAAAAAATGGGGATATGAAGATGGTGGAGTTCTGATAGTGATGGTGGATTAGGGAAGGTGGAGGAAAGGTATACAAAAATAATTATTTTATTTTATTTGATAAAATAATTTTTTATAAATTTATCTTTTATTTAATATTTTTACTATAAAATTATTATGAAGAAAATTATGACTTGACATTAATATATATGACATGGATATAACATGTCAGGGAGAGTGAAATACACACATGGTCAGAGGAATTTAAAAATCTTATTTTTATTAAATTCAAGAGTCGAAATAACAAAAAATTAGGTAAAATAATTTATAATACAATCCAATACAAGTACGAGAATCCACTATACTATTCTGCCTTAATTAAACTTTAAATGATTTTTAAAATATAGTAATATTTTATAAGATACCTTTACAAGCAACAACTAGATTCATTAAAAAATATATTTGGTAAAAAGAAATATATTTTTCCATTTTATTCGTCACAACCAGGGGAAAAATCAGTATATGGGCCAAGCCCAGTTTGGGAAGCTGCTAGTTTTAAGAATTTAGCTTACGCTCTATTTTTAAATTGACACACCTATTAAGAAAATAATTGATATAATAAATTTATTATTTTTATCAAACTAATTAATTGAGAATATAACAGATAAAAAAAATTATTCTTTTTTGATTTATCAAAATGGATAGGTAATTAGGAATAAAACGAATATAAAATAATTGAGTGATTTCGGTTTTTGAACTAAAAGCGTGGTTTTTTTCTTTTTTTAAAAATAAAATAAAATAATTATAATTAAAAAATATTAATTATTGTAAAATAAGCATTACAATATCAAATTAATTTTATATATAATTAAATTTTGATACAATAACTATAATTTTTCTACTTCAATTTGCATATACTCGTATATATATAGAGAGAGAATTATAACTTCAGTTCAATGTATCATATTAAAGTTTCTAACTTTTTAAATGCTAATTATATAAATTCATATATAGATTGCTATATGTACATCAATATTATATTAGATACTTTCGTATTCATCTTAGAAGTATTGAATATCAATTCTTTTTAGAAACATATATTAAAATCCCATTTTATTGAAATTATAGTATTAAAAATTACAACTTTAAAAACATATTCAATATTTATCTTACCGCATACATCTTTTTAATGACAATAATTTAATTACAACAAAATATATATTTTGATAATAATTAGCAGTTTTTTATAAATGTTCATAATGGTTATAGTGATGTTAGATATATTACTAATATCGGTAATATGTTTTAACATTTTTTGTTAATATATATTTATAGCCGCTAAAAATTATTTTTTTCGGATATAATTTCCTAAAAGTCCAAAATATTTTCCTGTGAACTTTATTTGAGCGTGATTTTCCATTGATATATCTTTGTTTAATTTAATAGCTCCATTGTGGAATCTGCTGTTTGATAAGAAGTCCCGGTCAATGTGTGTTAATTTTGGCTATTATATATAAATAAATAATTAATGAATCAATGCATATCCATAATATTAATTTTTATGTATATCAAATTAAATAGTGTCTAACAGGTGTACTTTTCAGTTAATGTAAGTAATATATAAATAATTTGTATTCTTGTCTCAATATTTAGCATATTTAAGTATGATTTAGTAATTAATTAATTTGATTTGTTATAATAAGCATATAGGTAAGTGTTGTTTGCCCTTGGGAAAATATTTGTGTTAGTGATAGTACTCAACTTAATTGTCGCTAAATATGTATTTTTAGCCGTAATTAATATTTTTTGTGAGTATTTTTGAAACCTATAGTGATATTAAATGACAATTAATTAATGTCGGTAAAAGTTTATTACTCTTTGTTAATATGTACTCCCTCTGTCAAATTTTATGTGACACTTTTCGTTTTTCGAGAGTCAAACAGTTTAACTTTGATCAAACATTTGCGTATGAAAATTTTAATATTTTGAAATGAAATTTATATATTTGTAAATTACATAAAGAGTACTATAAGTAACAATAATTGATAATTCAAAATTTTAAAAAGATCTTTGAAAAAATTACAGTCAAAGATACACGTATTTGAATCTCGAAATGCGAAAATGTAATATAAAATGAGACGAGAAGAGTATATTTTTGCTGCTAAATTTTTTTTTATTATTTATATAGCGTAAATAATTTAAATTTTGATGTACTTCTAAGTTCTTGTGGAATATAATTGTAGAAATATCATAATAGATTTAAGATGTGGAACGGTAGATAAATTAACATAACCTTTTTATGCTATATTTTTTTGGGCACTTTTGATTTTGTTACCAGTTAATTTTAATTTGAGCTTTTGTGATACTTAGATAAGTATATTTGGATTTTAATTAAATAAAAAATGTGTTTTTGATCTCTTTATATACCAAGGAAATAAGTTATATTTAGACATTTTTAGATTATATTATTATAAAAAAATAGATTAACAACTAGCAACAACTAATAATCATGGTATATCAGTGAATATTTACAAGCAAATGAGTCACAAGCTTAATATAACCATAAAATTATCTTATCATGGTATATTTATGATCATAAATCTAACATAAACTTTAGTTATGTGCTACTTTGCTTTTTCAAAACTTTATATTCATTCAAATATTGGTTTTATTGTTTTAAAATATGTTATTTTAATTTATTTTATGTCTACTGAAAAAAATAATTCAGAGAAGATGATTTTTTCTATTATATAGGAGCACTAGTTTCAACATGTTAATTTTCTGGCATTAAATCAAAATGTTAGGATATTAAGATCTTCAAACTAAAATTGTTAGATAAACTTGTTTACAAAAAAGTTGTACTTCTAATCTTGTCATTTGGACTTCAACAAAAACTCTTTAAGTTCGTTATCTTTTATTTATCTACATTTTTCAAAGAATAATTACAAATAAATAAAAATAAGGTAGATAGATATAATACTGTAAATTTTAAGAAAAATAAATATTAAAAAATGAAATTTAATTTTTTTTTAAAGTATCCAATAAATAAATATACATATTTATTTTAATATTTGCTAACTTGACAAAGATATATTAATAATTTTAATTTCTTTAATTATATTAAGCACGTATCACAAACCACGCATAGGCTGCATTTTCACACTATTTACGTGTCCAATGACGACCACATTTATTGTTTGCTGATTCATAACGTGGAGTCGTTTTAATTTTTTTCAATATTTTTTATTTTTGATATTAATTATTTATTTTAAATATTATGATAAAAATAAGCATTTTTTGTATCTAGGAAGTGTAACAGATACATTGAACCTGGACATACTCGTTGTGTATAAAACCCAGTCCAACTCCACCCATTTTTTTTTTCGCATCAGTTCCAAACTGCAAAACAAAGACTATACCTCTGTTCCTGTATCCTAATTTGGAGCAAATCAAAATTAAATTCATTCAGAGCTATCGTATCTAAAAAATGGCTCCGACTATAGCAACAACACTATCTTTCTGTGCCCAATCGAAACCTGCCGGCGGTGAAATCTCCGGCGTACCGGAGTCGGAGATGCTTCGAAAGAGAAACGAAGAGCTGGAGGATGAATTGAAGAAGAGCGTAGAGAGAGAAGAGAAAATGAAAGAAGAGCTGGAGAAGACACGGAGGAGGGTGAAGGTGGCGGAAGAGGCGGAGGAACGCCTTTGTTTTCAGTTAGGTGAATTGGAGGCGGAAGCTGTAGATGAAGCTCGGGCTTATAGAGCCCGTGTTGTTAATTTAATGGAACAACTTTCAGCCGTACAAAAACTTCTTCTATCTGCTTCTAAATGAGTGTAAAATTATATATGCATGCACCTAGTCTAGCTAGTTTTTTTTTTACTTGTATATTGGATCAATTTTTCTTCTTCTTAATTCTACCTTTAGACCTTATTTTCGGTGCATTATTTGAATAAAATAATTTTATTCATGATTTTGCGTCGAATCTGTCGATATTGGTTGAATTAATCTCTTCATATACATATTTGGTGTAACTATATAAAAAGAATTACACTGCTAGATTTCTTTTTTTAAGGAATTTCAATATGCCATATATACTTGAATTTTTTTTTAAAAAATTAATTAATTAAAATGGAAAATACACTAACTAATTATCATTTAGGGCTGTTTATCCAATTTTTAGAGAGAAAAAAAAGAAGAAGATATATCACTTTAAAATTTCTAGCCTTGAGTTATTTCGATTCATTAGGGGTCTGATTATTATCTATAATCTCAAAAGAAAAATATGTCGCTATTATTCTCCAATTCATATTGTAAGAGGAATTTTAGACAGAGAAATAGTCACACGTACTCTAGGAATATAGAAATAGTGATCAACAAATTCAAACTCAATTAGTTACCCATTTCGAGACTTATCTTTTTTATTTTCATTAGGTATACAAGAATTTGATTAAAATTAAATTTACATCGAAAAATTCCACCTACTTTCTAAACGACTCCTTACAAAAAGAACTACATTTGGAGTTGCATCAAATTTAGGCAGATAAATAGGTAGTCACATATACGCAAGGAATATTGAGCATAGTCAGCAAGAAGCTGGCAGGAAAAAGTTAGGAACTTGTCTGGAATATATGTTACGTGAACTTATAAGATAATACTACGTACATGCCAAGGCAAAATTTTCGCTTCTAAAAAAAATTATATTTTTATAATCATATAATTATTAATAATATATTATATATATATCTAAGCATTTATAGTCAAATATACTATATCATATAAATTGAAGTGGTTGTGCGTCAACACCAATGTTATAACAATTTTGAAATTAAATATTTCAAATAGTCTAAAATATTTATAAGCTTAAAGTAAGTCAAGAAGTGTATAATACGTATCTTGCCATATCCAAAATTTTACATGTTAAATTAGTTGAGAACATATAATAGTCCTAGTTATTCTTTACCCAGCTATAGTTCTAATTACTTCATATCCTATTTTTTCATTAAATTATTGATATGTGATATTATATATAAAAATGATTTAACGTAATTAGGGGTTTAAAGTGAAATTTCAATTTGCTGTCTAAAATAGAAATATATTTTCTATACGTATTTATTAAAAAAAAATTACACTATTAAGATGAAAATTATTAGTACTTAATATTATTTTTTATTTTATTTAAGATTTTATCAACTCATCATTGAAAAACTTTTTTAAGTGAGACAATTATTATTTGTATTGTTAATATAATGATACAAGTAAAAGTTGATAAATATTAAATAAAGATAAAAGTTAGAACCAGAATTTGACTCAAAAATTTGATGACTTGATATACCTTATATACTTAGAGTAATGCTTGAAACTAAAATTTAAAAACAAATTAAAAAAAATTGCAATTCACTTTGTAATAATTTTCACTGTTAATTTTCATTTTTAACAAAGTGAAAAAGATGTTAAGTGGATAAAATAATTTATTTTTAAAGAATTATACTTTTTATCATAAATAATTAATTTTTATATAAAAATACTAACGCATAATTTACTTTTAACAAAAATTTTGAGACACCCAAAATTTGGGGCCTAAGGCAAAGGCCGTATTTATTAGTGCATATTATATATACAATAAAAAACAATTCAATAGATCTAAACATTATATTTCTTAAACCAGTACAATATAAATTATAATATAATAATAAATAAAACATTATTAAATTATTAAATGATAAGTAACAACCATTTTTCTTTATTACGCTTTAACCGAAAAACAGATTGGAAAGCCTGTTCCTCCATCTCGAATTAGGAGTCGGACACATCTGTTCCTTCTTTCTATTTAATTTTCAACTTATTCCAAATTTTCAATAATTTAATTTTCTACTTTTGATAAATCAACATGCATGTCACATGTATCACGTTTCGAACAAACTAAACTTCTCCAAAATAAAAAGAAAAATAGAAGACTAAGACTTCTTGAAAATTTTAGAACGAAATTTCTCATGCTATCAATTGAAATAATCCTCCACGAAAGATGTATTGGAAATATTTTGAATTCATTTTTGAAATATTGTCGGTTTATAAAAAAACTCTTTTACTTGATAAATTAAATTTAAATATACACCCCTGATTTTGCAAAATGCATAAGTGAAATATGTCCCTAAATTTCTCTTCATGTTTGAGAGTGTTTTCAACAATTCTCTCGACTTTTTATCAAGAGCCTTATGCTCCCACGAGAGTTTAGAGTTTTACGCCACTTGTTATGTCATGTGACAGATTGTGGGTGTATCCAAGTTTAGTTAATCGAGTAGAAACTGTATTTAAGGCTGTCAATAATTCGAAAATGGAATAAATAATTTGTGGCAAGTTCGGACGTCATGTTTTCAACAATTCTCTCTTGTTTCTTAAAAAAGAATTGTCTTTATACCGAATAATACTTATTTATGGTTTAATTAAGGTTTAGATTCATGCAATTTGAGATTAATTAATTAAAAGCGAGTTTAGAGTTTGACACTGCTTGTTATTTCATGTGACAGATCGTGGGTGTATCTAAGTTTAGTTAGTCGAGTAGAGATTATTTTTAAAGCTGTCAACATTTCAAAAACGAAACTATAATTTGTGTCAAACTCAGAAATCATGTTTTCAATACTTTTCTCTTTTTTTAAAAAAAATAAAAAATTAGCTGTCTTTATACCAAATCATACTTATTTATGGCCCACTTAAGGTTTAGATTCATGCAATTTGAGATTAATCTTTTGTGGTGTACTCATTGAGGGAAATGTTTTTCAAGATTCAAAAAAAAAAAAGTGAATGACATAGTCATTTTATTGTATTTGAAAAGTAACATTTTTTTTTTATCTTAATAAGTGAATAATATATAGATGCTTAGAGATGTAAGCTGAAAATTAGCAACATATGAATCAACATTGGAAAAGGAAGGAGTATAATGTTTGAAGTTGACGCCATTGTTTCTGCAAACTTTCCAGTTTTACTCTCTTCAATAGGCTGAGTTGCTTGAGTTGTTGATCCTTCTTCATTAGGCCTCTTTACCCTGTTTCAAAATTCAAGACGATATTTGACTGAACATGAAGTTTAAAAATAGATTACATTATTTTTTTTTGACAGACTAAAACGAAAAGAGTTACACGTAAATTGGAATGGACGGAACATTTAAGATGATGAAAGTTTTGAGAGAGTACCCATTCATTGGGCAAAATATGATTGCATAGTCATTAGCTTTGCATGTAAAAGTGCTAGTGCCATCATCAAATGCATAGCTATAAGCCCTTGGACAAGCATTCTTAAATATAGTTGAGTAAAAAGATGGTTGACAAGTTGTTGGATTTGCAAACTGTCCTGCACAGCAATATTGGTCTAAACCAAAAGCCTCACATGCACTCTTGCAAGCCACCACATTCCCTTCTCCTCCATATTCACCCATCACTTGAAGTTCTTTTGGACAACCTGTTCCATTTTGTTAAAAAAAAACGAAATTATTCTTCTAAAAAAAGTAACTCAATCTATTGATATATCCCTTAACTTTGCGATTTAGAGCTGATATAACAGAGTGATGAGAAAATACCCATGTTAAGATTTGAGAGGCAGCCAGTGGCATTGCATCCCCCGTTGACGCCTTGAGGTAGAGCAACCATTGGTAAATTATAGCCATCAACAATACTAACATCATAGAAATCTTTGTTGTCTCCCACGCCAAGAGTTATCTCGAAGAGGGAGGCAGGTGGCGTGGCACCAAGCCCACTACATTCAAGCTTCCCACCACAATCGCCTGTTTGACACGAGCCAATACCTGATGCATCAAAAGTGCAGCCAGTTCTAGCCCATATTCTCCCTGACCAACCAGCTACACTTGGAATTGTGATGCTTTGCCCTGCATCTAATCGAAAGCCAGTCGCGGGAAGTGGAGGAGTTCCCGCACCAGCCAGTGTACCAGGCCATATGGTAAAAGGACAGTTATTACGAATAATGAAATTGTAAGCAAAAGTGTAAGAAAAGAACGAGCACAAAAGCAATGAAAATGAAATCGTTTTACTGGAAATTATGTTCATAAGCATATTATTTATCGCCTTTTTCTAATGTCCTGTCCTTGTAGGAAATAGAATAGGAAAAAAATGATTCATCGTTAACATATTTGTATATCGAATTATTTAACCAAAAAAAAAAAGAAGAAGGAATTTGAACATATTGGATACAAAATCCAAAGTGTGAAGTTGCTTTTAATTTGCAAAATTCATTAGCCGCAAAATGTCACATTTGGGTTTAGCATTTCTTGGATCTTGGATAGCCTAAATAAGAAGCAATGCCTTTCTTTGGTAACTTTAAGGATGCATTCGCCATTGAAACAAATATTAAGAAGAGAAAATATAGAATCTTGGAAGTGAATCAATTTTGTTTTGTGTGTAAAAAGATATGCGACCATAGAGAAAATGGTCTAAAGCTCTTCGGTCTATATCTGAAATTCAACTACATACTCCAACTTAACGAATATCCTATCACCCTCCTGAATTGTTTAAAACTGAAATAATTTACTCCCTAGATGCTTACGTGGCACAGTGAGTGTATCTCACTCTCTTAGAGAGAGTGAAAACCAACACAAATAATAAATGTGTATTTTTAGTTATTAATTTCTTATTAATTTTCTTTCTTCTTCACAACAACATAAATCAAATCTATGACACCACCAAAGTTCTTCACCATCTTGAAATCATTCCTATCACTGCATTTATTGATACACCAAAAAAATCATTTATAGCAATTTCATCCATTATTCTTCAAATCAAGAACTATATATAAAAAATCTTTGATATATGCACAAATTTTTGTTTTTTTAAAAAAAATCAAAGCAAATTAAGCTTGGATAAGCTTAATACATGAATACCCAAATGATTTTCTTCAATAAACTTTGAATATTAAGATAATTTTTTTATCTTATACT